TGTACTTTCCAGGATAAAAATCATCCTTATTGCAGCGTAATTGACCAAGTTGCGCAAGAAAAATCAATTAATAGGCTTTCCAATCGTTGATGAAGCACGAATCAGAGTTGACGGTCTAGAAAATACTTTTATTTTAGTCACCCTTGTTAGAAGTTTTTCATTATTAGAGAGCCTTACAAACCCATGAATGGACGCGAAACACAATTTTCACAAAATTTATGGCTAAAAAATTAAATTATAACATGAAAAAATGTCATTATTCTTCCTCAATAAGATAAACGCGAAAAAATACTCAAAATCAAGTCACTAGGAAATAATGAATCTGCTGCATGATGCAGGCTCCATAGCGAAACAGCGTACTTGAATTTTCACTGTTCCCTTTACCACGTTTTACTGGTATCGTATCAAATCCTTGTCTAAATAAGACTTCGATATTTTGTGGTCATTTCAGTGACCCCCTAAACGCTAGCATTTTTTATTATATTATCTCTAGCGCGCTGCACCAACGTTTATGTGAAACAAACGTCACGTCAAGCGTCGGCCGAATTTTTTACAGCTGTCATGACCAGCAGAAAATCCGTAGTGCTAGAAACAAACTAAAACCCTTGATCCTGAAATGATGCGTCATTTATGTGAAAGAACAACGAGGCTTAGATGACGAAAGTTCATAACTATCATCCAAAAATCAATTCTGCAGATCGCCATGTAGTATCCTGCGAATTATATTTCGTCATAGCGAATGATTTTTACCGACGCAATCTGTAGTTTTTTCAAAATCTGAATTTTTTCCGTTTCAGCTTACAATTGTAGAACATTTCAAACAAAGCCATTAGCAGCGTAAAGTATCCCGGAAATCAAAGACCAGTTTATTCACTAGTCAGACAATAGAAAGTTGGCGGTTGTTAATGAACCGAATAGTGCACAAGCAGTAACTCGGCTTTTACGCTGAAGCCTGCAAAAATGCATCGCAGTCAGCTAGATCGATTAGTTCGACAGTTGAAAATATATCAACACACACCATGAGCAGCATCACAGAAAAAATAATTTAGCCGACTCGTTATCCTATTGAAAAAACAACATTGCGCGCGGATCACAGCTATTCTACAGAAGGAACAAGATGAGAATTGGTAAAGAAAATTAAATGGTATGAGAGGACGGTATTCCCATTCGATTAAACAGGCTGTTGAAATGCATGGAAAAATATCGCATATCATTACGATACTAAAATGGACGATAATTATCGGGCGCGAAGTACTCAGCATGCAAAAAATTATGCAACCGAGTTGACCACATTCGGGGTAATCGCAAATGACTTCTACTTCCTTAATTATTCCCGTATTCAGATAATAGCCAAATTTAGTTCTTTGCTATGCCCGGTTCCATCTTCTTGAGCACGAGAGAGAACTCTCAACGACACTGAGATCAAGTCGAACTGTAGGTAAAAACATCGAAATTTTATATAAATATAAAAAGGCTTGAGCACGATCATACTAGGATAATCTCCAGTCATTGGTGACAACTTCAGACAACTATTATTGTTTGCGCGATCCGTTAATTCATCAATTAAAAGATAGATAACATGCGTGAGCTGCACCACCGAGGAAATTAAATTTCCGACGCTGGCTGCAAGAAACAAGTTTAGAAATTAACAATATAAATAATACGAGTAAAGATAATTTTCACGCTTCAGGCAGACAGCGAAGACTAATCTGGGAAAATAATTCTATACTGCGGTGAGGAAGAGGAGTAAAGTTCTAGCTACCACCAAGATTATAGCTGAACCAAAAAAATCCAACGGCCCACAATTTCACGTTGTAAAATGTGCTTATAACGGCTTAGTCAGACAGCCCAACGTCCATTTGTACTTTCCAGGATAAAAATCATCCTTATTGCAGCGTAATTGACCAAGTTGCGCAAGAAAAATCAATTAATTGGCTTTCCAATCGTTGATGAAGCACGAATCAGAGTTGACGGTCTAGAAAATACTTTTATTTTAGTCACCCTTGTTAGAAGTTTTTCATTATTAGAGAGCCTTACAAACCCATGAATGAACGCGAAACACAATTTTCACAAAATTTATGGCTAAAAAATTAAATTATAACATGAAAAAATGTCATTATTCTTCCTAAATAACATAAACGCGAAAAAATACTCAAAATCAAGTCACTAGGAAATAATGAATCTGCTGCATGATGCAGGGTCCATAGCGAAACAGCGTACTTGAATTTTCACTGTTCCCTTTACCACGTTTTACTGGTATCGTATCAAATCCTTGTCTAAATAAGACTTCGATATTTTGTGGGCATTTCAGTGACCCCCTAAACGCTAGCATTTTTTATTATATTATCTCTAGCGCGCTGCACCAACGTTTATGTGAAACAAACGTCACGTCAAGCGTCGGCCGAATTTTTTACAGCTGTCATGACCAGCAGAAAATCCGTAGTGCTAGAAACAAACTAAAACCCTTGATCCTGAAATGATGCGTCATTTATGTGAAAGAACAACGAGGCTTAGATGACGAAAGTTCATAACTATCATCCAAAAATCAATTCTGCAGATCGCCATGTAGTATCCTGCGAATTATATTTCGTCATAGCGAATGATTTTTACCGACGCAATCTGTAGTTTTTTCAAAATCTGAATTTTTTCCGTTTCAGCTTACAATTGTAGAACATTTCAAACAAAGCCATTAGCAGCGTAAAGTATCCCGGAAACCAAAGACCAGTTTATTCACTAGTCAGACAATAGAAAGTTGGCGGTTGTTAATGAACCGAATAGTGCACAAGCAGTAACTCGGCTTTTACGCTGAATAGTCAGACAGCCCAACGTCCATTTGTACTTTCCAGGATAAAAATCATCCTTATTGCAGCGTAATTGACCAAGTTGCGCAAGAAAAATCAATTAATTGGCTTTCCAATCGTTGATGAAGCACGAATCAGAGTTCACAGTCTAGAATATATTTTTGTTTAAGTCACTTGTCGTAAGCTGTTGAATTAGGAGCACTGCAAGTTCATAAAGAAATTGAGTTACGAGCTTGACAAAATTTTGTCACTGAGAAATCAAGTTAGAAAGCGAAAAAATCATCATTTAATTTTCACAAAGAAAATGATGAGAAATTCGCATGATCATACACTTAACCATGCAAGAAGGCGCAATTGTGAAGCCTAAGGCATGCTGGCAAAAATATAGATCATGCATTAGTATGCTATAACAAGATATTTGCTACAACATTTCATCAAAAAATGAACTGGGCTCATCAAAACGGGCAAAAAGACATAAAACTGACTCATGAATAACCGTAACATCATTAAACCCCAAAATGAATGTTCCAGGAAATACATATTTCACTCAAAGATACTTCTGGCTTAAAGGGCTTCACATGAGTTCTTTGTGCGAGGAAGGGCACTTTCAATTTGGCAGGAATATTTACTAACTAAAGGCATATAACTAAAGGCATCATCTTTGTCCCCAGCGTTTATAGGTACGCTACAGATGGTAAGAAATTACTATAAGAAAAGTCTACAAGTTATAGGATACTCATTATTGTACAATGAGATACCTTATGTAAAGCATTGATCCAACCATGGTACATGGTCCAAGGGGGACGCCAGCCTGAAAAAGTTTGGAAACCACTGCTCTAGCACATAAACAAGTGCACTAACACTGAGAGCATGTCCATATCAATGGAGTTTTAGGCAAGAGCCACTCACTACTCACCCTATGTAAGGAGCGCAAGCAAGGCAGGTAATCAACATGCCGCAGGATAAAGTAGGGTGTACAGCAGGATCTAGTAGGGTGTACAGCAGGATCAAGTAGGGTGTACAGCAGGATCAAGGGTGTACAGCAGGATCAAGTAGGGTGTACCGCAGGATCAAGTAGGGTGTACAGCAGGATCAAGTAGGGTGTACAGCAGGATCAAGTAGGGTGTACAGCAGGATCAAGTATGGTGTACAGCCTGTCTCTTATACACATCTAGATGTGTATAAGAGACAGCAGCAGGATCAAGTAAGGTGTACAGCAGGATCAAGTAGGGTGTACAGCAGGATCTAGTCTGTCTCTTATACACATCTAGATGTGTATAAGAGACAGGGTGTACAGCAGGATCAAGTAGGGTGTACAGCAGGATCAAGTATGGTGTACAGCAGGATCAAGTAGAGTGTACAGCAGGATCAAGTAAGATGTACAGCAGGATCAAGTAGGGTGTACAGCAGGGTAAGGTACATCATCGTACATGTGTTAAATCTCCAAGTCAATGTCCATGCTGACACTTGCAGATTTTCTTTAATGATTCTGAGTCTCTGAGAACTGAATAATACAGGTTAGCATCACTACAGCACCATGCCACATCACTACAGCACCATGTTACATCACTACAGCACCATGCCACATCACTACAGCACCATGTTACATCACTACAGCACCATGCCACATCACTACAGCATCAATTATGTAAACACAAAAGAAAGACTCAAGATTGATACATTTTGAATTTTCAGCTACAAGCTTCATTTTCAAAACTTTGAAAATTTTATTTTAATAGGTAGCTTTGAAGCTGACTTATAACTATTCAGATAAAAAAGATTGATATATTTATCAATAGAGCAGCAAAATAACAGAATTTATCATTTTAAGTTTCAATTAAAGGATGTCATTACAATAATTAGAATATAGATGTTGCACAAAATAAAAGACTTGTTGCTTAATCCTCATTTCAATTTACCTATTTGGAAGCAGATTGAGACCATATTACTAATAATACATACTACATAGACTAGTAAAAATGAATGAACTTATTTCAACTTAATGAAGGGAACATATAAGCAAGTAAAGCATTAGCAATGCATGTGCTATGGTTCAGGTTTTTCATTCAAAATCTACTTGAAACTTGATACCAAATATGAAATTTAATATGTTACATGAAGGTTGAAAAAAGTTTTTTGAAAAAGTGAATACCTACCCAAGGCTAAAATAAAAAGGGTCCCCTTGCCTTCCTCCATTAGATGCATCAAACCTCCGCCTCCAGCTAAACCTCAGCCTCCAGCTAAAACTCCACCTCCAGCTAAACCTCCACCTCCAGCTAAACCTCCACCTCCAGCTAAACCTCCACCTCCAGCTAAACCTCCACCTCCAGCTAAACCTCCGCCTCCAGGCGGGCTCCAGCTAAACCTCCACCTCCAGCTAAAACTCCACCTCCAGCTAAACCTCCACCTCCAGCTAAACCTCCACCTCCAGCTAAACCTCCACCTCCAGCTAAACCTCCACCTCCAGCTAAACCTCAACCTCCAGCTAAACCTCCACCTCCAGCTAAAACTCCACCTCCAGCTAAACCTCCACCTCCAGCTAAACCTCCATCTCCAGCTAAACCTCCACCTCCAGCTAAACCTCCGCCTCCAGCTAAAACTCCACCTCCAGCTAAACCTCCGCCTCCAGCTAAAACTCCACATCCAGCTAACCGCTAACGTGCATGAGGTGGAATTCAGTATTGGTAATAAACTAGCTAGCCTACTATAGAAGCAATTGCACTTATTATAATGGATCTAAAAATCTAGAATTAGTTTATTTTTAGCTGATCATGTCAACAGGCTGGATCAATCTTTAATTTCCTAGAATTCCATCTTGCTGAGTTAGAAGCTTCAAATGCTTTACCACAGCTTGGCATGGCCAGCAGTAATTAATTAACTAGGTACCTAAGGCCTATATAAATATGTATGATTGTATCTTACAAAATTTACAATCATGCATAGATATCTCAAAGCAATTTGTACAAAACTAATAAACTACTTGACGATGTTCCTTCTAGAAAATTCATCTTTTATCTGCCAAATGAAGGTTCACCTAATTTTTGGCACAGGAAATTGGCAGTTTTGGCAGAGATAGCAGTTAGAAAAATTCAATCCTACTACACTCAGACTTGCCCCATGCAAAGAGTCAGCCTTAGTACTGAAAAAAAAATCTGCTGAAAATCTCCTGTAGTTGAAATTTTAGAAAGCCTAATAGTGTCCTAATTTTCTCCTAGCAAACCCAACATGTTTGAACTTGTTATCTCTTGCATGTGACAACTCATCCATTGATTCATACAACCTAACTGTATTAAATATGCAAGTGATTAAAATAATTATGAATACGAAAAATATTTCTTCTTTAAAATGTAAACATTAGTGTTTAATACACGCCTACAATTTTGTCATAAGGCAATGCACTGGCAGTCTGGCACCAACCAACTTAGAAATAGCGGGAATCAGGGCTGTCAGATCATTCAGATGGCGGCATGAATACACGGGCTAATCAATTAACGTAAAAGGCCAAAAATAAACTCTTAAAATTCCAAAAAGTAATTATGAGAAAATTTATAATTTACGGTTTCAAAGATTTCAAAGTAAAAATTTATAATAGTTTTAAAGCAATCTTTTATTTTCTATTTATTTCCTCGAACAACTTAATTTGAACAAGGCCCAAATCGACACGTCTCGGTCAAATTCACTTTGGGCCCCAGGAAAATCCGAACCTAACTAACAGCACAGCTGCGAATGGAGTTGGTCTCTCCCATATCTAAATATCTTTACAGCGAAAATCACGTGGGCAATTAGCCCAGGGCGTAATGACTGTCAAGTCACAACCACTGAATCATTCGAAGCTTTGGAGAGCGCGGTCGTGCAGACGTGCACTACAAATTTTGAGCAACAATCGGCCGAGAGCTCGTATATTTCCGTTAGGCCATAAATCGGTTGTGGATAGGAGTAGGACCTGCCATCAGTAATCAACCCGCAACATCATTTTTCTTTCAAATGTTGAGTTTTACACCACCAAACAAATAGTCTAGAGTGCCATGACTGACCAAAACTTAACGTTTTATCAAAGCATTATTTCATAACCTTGCCAGCGCTCGAATTGTAACATGAGCGCGACGAAGTGCTGCACAAGGTGCTGCATATCGGCTTAGTTCTCCGTAGGAAATGCATAAATCTTACCGTGCATTACCAGACCGCGCATTGAATACGACTTCAATGATATCGTTAAATTACGTAACTTTAAGCTCACAGCATCTGAGGTTAGGCTTCAGATAGTAAAGTTATGTTCCGAAGCCGAACGTTCGTCGACGAGTAGCCGTTTGATCGTGGGCAGATTAGATGCTGAGGACGATTACTGCCATCTGGCTTGCATAGAGACAGAATTCAGGAATGCTCCAACGTGCTTCGTCTAGTTGGTGCAAAATTAGTTCATGCGTTGGCGGACGATGCTGGAACTTACCTTTCCCAGCTGTGTTGCTGGAGAATGGTTGGTCGAATTCAAATAATATGGTTTGGCTTGGGTGGCTTGCAGCCGATAGTGTGATAGCCCAGAATTATCGGAATCTACGTTAATAAAGTAAGTAGTAAGGGATCACGTCAGCCCATGCGGCGTTGGGCGTGTTGATCTCTGACGGGCAACTCGTTCGTAGCTGTGCAGCATCACTCGCGCCGTGCAGCAGTCGCTTTAATTTTCGTCGGTTTGTTTTGTTGTCAACATAAGCAAATGCTTGTCCGTAAATACAATTTTTAAAAAACGGGAACTGAGAGTAAGCGAAATATGAAAGAGGCTATTGCTTAGAAAATGGCGGAGGGTCGATTAGGTCAGATTTTCTGGTATACGAGGTGTGGTTATCGTTACTGAGTAACTGGCAGCTCATCAGAAACGCAATGTGCGGTTATCGTTACTTAGTAACTGGCAGCTCATCAGGTACGCGAGGAGTGGTTACCGTTACTGAGTAACTGGCAGCTCATGTGGTATGCGAGGTGTGGTTATCGTTACTGAGTAACTGGCAGCTCATCTGGTATGCGAGGAGTGGTTACCGTTACTGAGTAACTGGCAGCTCACCTGGTATGCGAGGTGTGGTTACCGTTACTGAGTAACTGGCAGCTCATGTGGTATGCGCGGTGTGGTTATCGTTACTGAGTAACTGGCAGCTCATCTGGTATGAGAGGAGTGGTTACCGTTACTAAGTGGCAGCTCATCAGGTATGCGAGGTGTGGTTACCGTTACTAAGTGGCAGCTCATCAGGTATGCGAGGTGTGGTTACCGTTACTAAGTGGCAGCTCATCAGGTATGCGAGGTGTGGTCAGTTGATCACGCAAATAGAAGTGAAATGAAGAGCTTCCATGGAAAAATACAAGCCTGTGGGTGCAGCATCAAAATTTATTCCGTTATTGAGACAAACATTGAGGTTTTTATGGCCCTGAAGCTGGTGGGAAAGCAACAAGATATAGCGAGAAATTATTAAAGATAACCGCGAAAAAATAAGACAGCATTAAGGACAATGGAGCCTGTCTCATCCCACTAGCCCCTCGTCCATTGTGCGTTTACTGTGAAACTGAATGGGAGAAGCAAGGCATAACGCCACAATAAATGCCACGTTCAGGGAGTATAAAATCGGGGAGGCTATGAGCACCTAACTTGAGCTGCATGAACGCCCAGCGGCCAGCTGTAGTGCACAGCAGCAAGGTGTTAGAAGGCATCCTAAACACTCAAGACCTGTTGAACTCTCAAAACCTGTTATCTATATTTTATCAATCGGAGGCGAATAATCAATCAATTAATTGGATGAGAAAATACCAAGGGCTTTCTTGCCACAAACCAGCCTACCGAGAAAAAAAAACCGAGACAAACTATTTCAAATCGCAACTATGACCATAAGTAACTGGAGCGATTAGATCTTGAGATGAGAGAATTAAACAGAAATTAATTAACTGGAGAAATATAACGCATCTCATCTTAAACAAAATTACATCAAACGCTTCCCTTCATTAAAACTGATTCATTCGTTCCTTGAAATAAGGAACTTAAGGGCTAAATACATAATGAATTAACTCGAAAACAAAACGCATCTTCTCTTGTGCTTCCTGTCCGATTTAAACTTATTCATCTTTTTAAACAAGGTACTTCAGATATAATCTGCACACATTTTATTTCACAAGTTGAGATTTCTCGTAACGAGAACTAATAGCTCGACATGAAAAAAGGCACATACTAACATAATTTGAACTAACTCCAAGCACCATTTGAACCTGAACATTGCATTCTGCAGGCAATATATAAATCACCGGCAGAGATAACATATTGTTGGCATCTTGCAGTACGGTAAGACTGCAAGTGCCCAGGGGCCATACTTTCAAAACTCGCTAAGTTAACGTAATTACTTACGTTCTATATTATTGTCTATGATTGGTGGATTTTGCTTGGAAGGCCGTCAATGATTGGCTCATGAACTTACGCTCTCTTAACTTTTTTGAAAGTATAGGCCCAGGAATATATGCGCATCACTGTACCGCCGTCGCTGCCAGGCGCACGACTTTAAGGCAGCGCACGGCGCCCCTGCGAGCGATGTCCAAGCGACAGCCGCGGTCGGCCGCCATGCTTGCCAGGAAAGACAGCTCGTCAGAGCACAGGTTCGCTGGGAATACAATTTCTTGCGGAGGCTTGGGGCCACACGTTAGACGAGACAACTCATTCAAGACGATGTCAATAAACTCAGGTTTGATGTTTGCGGGGTACTGGCAAGGGTCTGATACTGATCTCTGTGAAGTCTCGTCACACACCGACTTTATGGGGTCAGGGGCAGGTGCCAATGCCTGGGGAGTCTCATCACACGCCGAGTTGTTGGGGCCAGCAACAGAAGAGAAATCCGGAAGTTCGACAAAACTCTCTTGGCCGGATTCCAGCTCAGTAATTGTGACGTTACCTTGTATGGTGCAGCGCTTCTGGAAACTGGTCTTTTCGTTGGATTTCGTAGCAGAAACAAGACGCTTGTCGGCATGCTTTCTATCCGACGATTCAACCATGAAACCAAACATTTTCTTGATCATAAATTTCTCCTGTGCATCGTACTTTCGCTGGGCAATATTGAGATTTTCCAAGTTTTTGGCGATGCTGGGCAAGTTTGGTTGGAGTTTCTGCGTGAGGAGGAAGTAGCGCCGAGCGTCGTCGAAGCTGTTAAGCATGGCCTTGGCGCTGCCATACCTGCAGTGAACCAACACCGATAATAACACACAACAAAATTAAATAAGAAACAAATGTGAGAAGCAGCACGTAATATAAATATCTACTGCGGCGTCAAAAATTTATTCGTCCCGAGTCGGTCTAAAAATGTAGTCACCATACGGATTATGTTTCAGGTCACACCACCAATTAGAAGTACCGTACGCATTTCGCATCTGACTTCATGTCAAATACATGCGAAGCACTTGAAATTACAGAGCAAAGGCAACAAAATATGAATAATACTGATTATATCGAGAGAGGCTGAGGCCATAGGTCCCGGGCTGTAGCAGTAGTCCATTCTTACCTGTAGAAGATTTTGGCTTTGAGCGGCACAGGCATCTCGAAGGGGAGTTCGAGCGCCGCACGACACTGCGTGCAGGCCTTCGCAGGCTCCGACTGGTCCAGGAAAACCTGCAGGAAAAAGCTCTTACGAACGGGCGGATGGTAAGACGGAGAGAGTGTCATGAGAACAAAAATGATGAGGCAGACAGAATGGCCGTGTGAACATAGAGGAACGTACGCACAAAGATGGTGTGGCAGAGTGACCGCGCCACCAAAGTGGACCAATGCACCTGCTGTTACTGGCTGGGCATCTCACATGACGGTCTCTTCTCAATGTACAACATAGAGGAACAAGGAGACTCGACGGCGAATGATATCAGATTTGTCGAAATCAGATCGCCAAACAGAAAACAAGTCGCCGGACAAGTTGGCGAGACTTACTTAGGGCGAGGGAACTTACTTTTACTTGCTACCTTGGCGAGACTGGCGATTCCTACCTTGGCGAGACTGGCGATTCCTACCTTGGCGAGGCTGGCGACTGTAACCTTGGCGAGGCTGGCGACTCCTACCTTGGCGAGGCTGGCGACTGCTACCTTAGCGAGGCTGGCGACTCCTACCTTGGCGAGGCGAGCTTGACG